CCCCCCCCAACTCTAGCCCCCATAACGTCCCTCCCCACCCCAGTGCATACACACCTCTCACTGGTGGCAGTGGCCTCCTGCAGTGGCTTACATCAATGCTGTCTATGCCTGCAAGTAACTAAACATAGATTTGTATTGAGCTATACTCTTAGCATCTCTATTGTAGGAGTAAGGCACCATTCAAGTCTTTGGAGAGGGACAACACTTGTGGCCAGCACTGGAGGAGATTGAGGATGTAAATCCCTGCTGGAGGCAGCTGCCACCACAGAGAGGCAAGTATGCCCCAGATTAGTTTTGAGGGCTAAGGAAGTACAACTTGTGGTCTTTGTACAAAGAGTGTAGCTGTACTTTAACTTTATTGGCCACTGGGACAGCCAGAATAGGATGTCATAAAGGAGTTAATAAAGGTAGTAAAAGGTGTCACCATAGGCCTCTGCTTTTTTAAAAGTCTATACCCCAGAAGCCCCTGAGTCTATTACTTTGCTGTAAGCTGGAGCTCGGACAAACCCAGCACATCCAACAATGCAATGCATTGTAATTTTTAGTAGTCACCTATACTGTCTTATGTCTTTGGATGTACAAATCAGCAGATCTATATTTTATCAGTCAACCCTAAAGCACCTGTTTTATATTGTAAACTTCCTTAATGTATAGAGCTTATTGCAAAATATTTTATACTTGCAAACCTTGCCTATTACTGCAATTGTATGAACACAACGGTACATAAAACATTTTCTGTGTTGTGATTTATGAAAACAAATGCGAGGGCTGTTTAGAAATATGGAACTGTAGTAAAAAGGAATTACATACATCCTCTCTCTAGCCTAATATGGCTCACTGCATGGAACAAAAGGCTAATGTCAACCACTGACCATCACAGGTATGTTGTTCCTTTGGGAAATTTGCTGCAGGAGGAATCCTCTTGCTGACCACAGCTTGTCAAAGAGAATTGCTATTTTGCTAACACATTCCTGATTTACTATAGCAAAGGAAGAGGAGCAGGGATACATCATTACAGTATGGATTGAGGGCCAGCATGCACACATGGATTGTACACAAAGTGATTGTGATACACGGATGCTCAATGAGTACAGTGCGCTTCCAGTTCAACGTACAAGTTGAGCCTCCACATAATGCTGCTTTTGTGCCTTACGGTCCGATAAGGTGCACCACAGAATACAGAAATACAAAAGACAATGCTTGTAATTGGCTGTATGCACCAAGCTAAATGGTATGCCAAAAAAACATGCACACTATGCTGTCATAGGAAAGAAGGCAGCCTATAACCAGGCATTTATTATTTCATCTCTTCTTAGCACCAGGGTATGGAATCTCCTACGCAGACTAGTGTTTACATTTTTCGATTCTACCTGCTATGTCATTAGAGAACATAGCAGTGATGTAGCAACAGGGATAGAGGGGGCGGGGGTTAAACCAAAACGAGCAGCAGGGAACATGGCAGCCAAAAAACCCAGAGGTGTTGGTCACCCAGAAGTGTTGCATGGCTGTGGCTTTGCAAGAACGCAAAGCTTGGAATTGCCAATCACTGAACTGGCAAGTATTGCTAATTTTCTTTCACAGGTTGCTTGTAGGAAAACCTTCCAAGTTTGGAACCTGCCCATTGGTGCAAAGATGAATGGTGGTGCATGCAGTGTGAAAAGTGAGTGAGGCTACATTGTGTTTAAAATTGGACATAGGTTAGAGGCGTATGGGTATATAGCATTTGAGCCTGCTTGCTGTATACATTGCGCACATTTGATGCAGTTCATGTACCCACAAATACACCTTAATTACTTTCAAATAATGAAAAACTAACTATATGTGCTTTCCTGCACACAGAATAAAAACATAGCGTTGACTTTGTCTGTGCCTACCCTAAGGAAGAACTGTATTGGACACTACATAGCATCCAGCATCTGTGGGACAATTAACATTATGGTCAGGAATATGCAATTCACACAGTGCAGCAGTCAGACCTTAGTAATAGTTAACAGAGTACTGGAGAAATTCCCTAACACTGGTGGGGCAAGAGGAAGAATGTCCTGGTGTTGTTGTTCAGGAGGAGAAAGAATACCTCAGCTTTCCTGGTCAAGGGGAGGGAAATGCCCCAGTGTCTATGGGAGGAAAAATGCCCCAGTGTCAGTGTCTATGGCAAAAAGATTGCTCCAGAGTCAGTATCTACAGCAGAATGAGTGATCTGGTGTTGTTGATCAGTGGGAGGAAGAATGCCTCAGCTTTAGTGGTCAGGGGAAGGAAGAATGTCCCAGTATCTATAGGAGGAAGAATGCCCCAGTGTCAATGTCTATGTAAAAAAGAATGCTCCAGTGTCAGTGTCTATGGCAGGAAGAATGCCCCAGTGTCGGTGTCTATGGCAGGAAGAATGCCCCAGTGTCAGGGTCTATGGCAGGAAGAATGCCCCAGTGTCAGGGTCTATGGCAGGAAGAATGCCCCAGTGTCAATGTCTACGTCAAAAGAATGATCCAGTGTCAGTGTCTATGGCAGGAAGAATGCCCCAGTGTCAGGTTCTATGGCAGGAAGAATGCCCAAGTGTCAGGGTCAATGGCAGGAAGAATGCCCCAGTGTCAGGGTCTATGGCAGGAAGAATGCCCCAGTGTCAATGTCTACGTCAAAAGAATGATCCAGTGTCAGTGTCTATGGCAGGAAGAATGCCCCAGTGTCAGTGTCTATGGCAGGAAGAATGCCCAAGTGTCAGGGTCTATGGCAGGAGGAATACCCCAGTGTCAGTGCCTGGGCAGGAAGAATGTTTCAGTGTTGTTGATCAGTGGGAGGAATTATATTGTAGTCAATGTAGAAGAATGCCCCAGCATCAGTGTCAGTGAGAGTAAAAAATGCTTCAGTGTTGTTTGTAGGAGAAAGAATATTGAGCGGGAGCACCCTTTAGCATTGGTATAGATGGAAAATTACCCCATCCATACCATTGATGTTGGTGAGGAAATCCCCCCCCCCCCCCACAGTGGATAATTCCCAATTCTACCTCCCTCAATCCTTAACATTGGTGTCAGTGGGGAAATCCTCCAGCGCTTACTTCAATGCAACCTTTATGTCCTGAGCTGCTACATCTCACATTGAAATCTGATGACATCAGCACTAGAGCTATGCAGTCATTGTCAGCCAGGAGGATATTCCACCCAACAGTGCCACATACTGTGCTGGGTGCTAGCACAAGGGTTTTCCAGGGAACTGCTCCGGTCAGGGGGACCCCAGGATTTTAATCAAATCCCTGTTGCTTCCAGGACTGTTGGGAGATCTGTAATTTTGTATAGTGACACGTTCACTTTAAGGGCCTGTTCACACAACGTCCCTTTTGTGTGCTGACCGGCTCCGTACGCTGCTGCACTCAAAATGCATCCCAATGTATCCCTATGTGTTTTATGGGCTCCAGTTCTCACGTGCGCAGTCCGTTCAGGTTACGACAGAAAAAATACTGCATGTCACATTTTGTACGGTCAGGAAACGCAAACGCGTCAAAAATGCACTGCAGCTAACATACTAACAGCCCCACGTTTACTGGAGCGCATCAAAAACGTATGAAAAACGTGGCAAAAACGCACTGCATCAGTCTGCAGATCCGCACCTGATCAGGACCTGATATCATGTGAACAGGCCCTAAGAGAAATCTAAAATGTTGTGTTGTGAATAAAGAATTGAAGAAGTCGCTTTCAGTAAACTGTGAACATTGGTGTGGTCATTAAAGCGTCTTCCAAAGGTAATTGTTGAGCTGCACCCTGTAACCTTCCGATGGGAAAGGAGAAGTTTGTGTCTGCAGTGTGTATGTACTCCACACTTCCTTGGAGCACTCTCTGTGGTTACGGACGGTGTAGGAGAAACAAGAATATACAGAAAGTCGGTAAGTTTCAAATCACAGCTGTGGTTGAGACTTTTCCAGTTACCTATTTAAATAGCACTAACATATCTTGTTGTTCTTTATAGAAAATATTAACTTAGAGAGTGTAACATAAACACAGGGAGAAATATAGGTTCCCTG